TTACGCCACAATTTGGATTTATAATTGATAACATTGGCATATAAAAATACTTTTTACAAAATGGTGCTTATCGTTGTATGTGTCTTCATATATTACAATTGATATAAAACAAAAATATACCAATAATGATACCCAAATCAAAAATTAAAAAATATCCAACCAACATGCTTTTACAAAAAAAAAAAAAAAAACCCAAAACCAATGTAATGCATATATTTATAGCCAATTAACATTCTTCAGCCTTAAGGTATAGCGAATGATAATACATAATCAGATCACTTTTTGTGAACTTTATCAAGTTTATCTTTTATAAAGCTTTCTTTACTCTCCCATTATAAACAAAAAATTATAAGCCAATGTTATTAAACAAGCACAAAGTTTAGCCTTTTTTATTGAAAGGTATTATTATTGTTTGGAATTAATACTAACCTTGAATGGTGTACTCATAAAATCATACAAAACTATCTTTCTTATAAAATGAAAGACATAATATCCACATTCGAAAACTTTTGGTTGACGAGGCACCTGAAAATTAAAATTTAGTGGGCTTAAAAAATATTTATCCAAACAAATTCAGCATAAAAGAATATATTTCACATTTACTGGTAATGACACCCAATTTATCTTTGCTTTTTTATCAATTACAGTCATTCCCCTAAATTGAACAAAAAAAACAATAGTAAATGCAAAAATACAAGTAATTGTGAATAACACAATATATCTCTTATTAATAACATGTAATACCATTTTATTAAATTATTAATATCGGGGTTAGGCATTGTCGTTGGTTGAGCAGAGTTAAATAAGTATGACGTCCAAGAATTGATATCAATTACAATAAGTTACCAATGACACCTGCAAAATAATCATGATATACAAATATTAGGCATCATCTTAGATGTCATAAAAGTTAGAATTTTAGTTGTACAAATAGAACTTATGCAGCATTATAAGGCACCAAAAAATAATCGACCCATTTTTTCATGCATTAGCCTACATGATGACCACGAATAATGAGAGTGCTACTCTGCTGACTAATCACATTTAAGTCAATGAATCTGAATCTATGAATCATTTGTCTTGCCTTGATCTCTTTATATAGGAAGCTGCATGATAACAATCAATAGTCTTAGTTAGTAATACACCATAATCTAGAATAATAGATATTAACTTTGAATATTTAAATTAATTGATAAACTAACCTCATATAGGCAATAATATCAGAAGTTGATATTTCATCCAGGGTAAAAAAAATACCTCAATCTCAGGCCCCCTAATGTAAGAAATGGATGGATGATCAAATAACCTATCCTCAGACCCAACGATAATGACGTTTTTTTCGATAAATGATTAAATATATAATTAGATAACGCATTAATGACAACCTTAATAGGGGTTATCTTCTGAGTCCCAACATCCAGTTAGAATATATAATGAAATATAAGTATCAAAACCAAATCAGTATAAATATAAATTACAAATAAATATTAAATGAATAAACAAAATAAAAATAATGATTATTATCGGAGTTTGCGTTTGCTGCTAAACTTGATTCATGAACGCATGTCCCTATTGAATGTCAGTAAAAAACTATCATTTAAGTATGTTAGGCTGTATTACTGCCAACATTATCTATAAAGCTGCGAGTTGTTACTGTTGATCATTTAGGCATTGCTCTTGCTCATCAAATCTTTGCTATTGTTACTAAATGATTGATTCATATTTTGCATTTTTCATTAGAAGGGGTTTGGGTTGATTACTGAGGAACTTTGATGGCAACATAAATCTACCAATCTCACAAACTCGACCATGTCTTTCTTTCGATCTTAATGCTAAAGACAAAGGATCTTCGCCATAATTGATTGATTGTTAACTGGATTAATAGTAAATTCATCTTGAAACACAATAAGATGGTGCATAACAACAAAGTTATACAATATATAGTCATGCATACAAGCACAAAACTAATCATACGTGATAAATTTATCAGTTATACATACAATCTTTTTAGCCATTTTTTTATTGCTTCATCTGCGAGCGATCCATCATTCTATATATGTCTTTGTTTCCACACATCCTAACTAGGAACTTTGGTTCCAAAGCTAGATGATTCATGATAAATTAAGGCGATATAAAAATCAAAATCTATTAACCAAATGTTCATAAATATTCATAAATGAGTATAAAACAAGCATATGAATACTTATAAGATCATGTTTGATATTTGCATAATCTTTTCTCAATGTTCGATGGTGATATACTTGTTTGGTTGGAATGTTCTTTTATTATTCTTTGATTTTTTGAAAAAAATAAAGATAAATCACATATTAAGATATTGAACATATTACACAAAATATTATAAATAATTAACATAATAGGTATGCATACCGAAAATTTTTTTGATAGACGACCTCAAATAAAATGCATGTCTACTTTTGATAACTGATAACATTTACATATGACAATGGAGGATCAGTTAACAAATCACTATTATCAGCAAACGGGTAAAATATATTAGTTGTTAATTTATTTTTAAAATCTCTGAATGCCTTCTCAACCGATTGCAACATAAGCTTTTTATACTCAGTTAAGACATCAAATTGTTCCTAATAAATTTCAAGCAATTAGTATGAAACATTATTTCAATTAAATTTCCAACTAGAAACAAATTTTTTGATATTGTTGAATAAACATACCACAATCGACTCCTATATACGATTTTTTTATCATCAGGAACTTGCAGTCTATTATGGTACATAATAAAAATACTACTACGGAAGATCGCTCCAATATGACTAGCCAACTTGGCAACTTCATTCGACACAAGTTGCCTACTTTGATTGAAGTTGATGTGAGTTTTCGTGTCACTTGCTTTAATTTATTTACCACATCTCTTTGCTTTTCTTTTTTCACTAGGGTGTGTCTACTTCATGTTCAATAGCAGGAGACACATGTTCTTTGAATTTCATAATACTTATGATTTTGATCATAATTATACGAAATACACCAAACTATCTTTCTAAATATCACACAGTAAAAAACAACAAATATCTACTACAGTTACTAGACCAAAATACATAAAACATCCTACAACCAATAATATTTATGGGTAAAAGCCATACTATAAATTCACCTTAAATAAAAGTTTCATATAAAACAAATGATGAGTACAAATATAACAACTAATTTTTTCAAAATCATTAAGCAAACAACAATATTTAAACCAAACAATAAAAAAACACCATACATGCAATGAAGGCAATTAGACAATGTAGGTGATGGTGGAATATGCATAAAAACATAAAAAAATAAATATATATAGTAAGGAAAGAAAAAAATACTTATATCGAAAAATATAAATAGTACAAAAAAATAAAATACGCACATACCGATAAAAAAGAGGTGCGATGGCTTTGAGTGATTGATAGTCGACAACGATGAAAGAAATGAAGAAACCAAAAGGAAAACTAAATGGGTTGATGGTTTAGGGGTTTACATGCAATGTAGCTTTTTACCGTTTACTATATTAGCCTTTTGGTTTTTCAAGGTTTAAGAATGGGAATGAACCTTTAAAAATGATCATTTAAGGGGTTTCTTAAATGCCTTAAATAATTCATTTATATTTTAATAAAAAGATTATTTAAGGCATTTGTATATAAAAAATGTCTTAAATAATCCAAAAAAAAAAAATAAAACAGGATTATTTAAAATTTTTTAATTAAAAAATACCTTAAATAATCCTCATATAAAAAATAATCCGTAATTATTTAAGGTATTTTTCAACTAAAAACGCTTAAATAATCCATAATACTTTTTAAAAAGAGCAGGATTATTTAAGGTATTTTTGGTTGAAAAATACCTTAAATAATACTCCTTAAATAATCACCTTAAACATTTTTTTATCATTTAAGGCATTTTTTACAAAAAAAAAGTCTTAAATAATTCTTTAATTTATTTATAAAAGAATTATTTAAGGTATTTTCTGTATAAAAATATCTTAAATGATCGTTTTATAAATAAATAAAAGGAATATTATTATTTTTTCCACGAAATAAAAAAAAGTGGCCAATGCATTAATTGATTTTCTTTCTATAACAATTTTTCTTATCAATTTCTATTAGGCAAAAAAGTACCAAACGCCTTGATGATATTTTATAAATAAAATAATAATCAAATAAAATATTTATCTTATTTTGTTACTAAAGGCATCATTTATCATTTTTGTATTTATTATTAATAAAAAGTTATCATTATATATATTAAAAAGATTATGATAATTATTCAAAAATTAATATACGTGAATTTTTTTCAATCAAATGAATGAATCTAAACATAAAATATTTTGAAAATGAAAAAAAAAACCTTGAGTATCACTTTTTTTCGAAGATCATATTTTTCTTTAAAATTTAATATTTTACAAATCAAAAGTCTCCTATTATATTATTACACTCAAATGGATTTTCGTTTAAATTGTTACTATTATACTTAAAAAAAAAAAAATTCTTACAATACTTATACGAAGTTTTTGGGATAAAGATTGTGTGATTTTTTATTAAAAATAATTAAATAAAAGTTAAAATTGATAAATTTAAAAATTTTATTATATAAATTAAATGTATACAATTTAAAATAAATTTTAATAAATTTTATTGTATTTTTTAAATAAATATTTTTAATAAAAATATTAATAAAATTTTATGTTATATAATTATAACTAAAATTTAAATTATAAATAATATTTTTAATATGTTTTAATATTATTAATCTTCAAATTAAATTCTATCATATTATTTATTTAAAATTTTTATTAAATATTTAAAAAAAATTTGGGCGATATTCCTGTCCACTCAGCTTCTGACGATAAAACCTCTCTCAACAACAAAATTAATTATGTAATTAATGCAACAGTGCTGTAAACTTCAATATATAATAAAACCCGAAATGAACAATTGCAACCACCATCGCTGACAAAAATTACACGGACAATAGCAATGAAAAAAATGGAGATAGTGTTCATGCCCACACCAGCCATCGGCCACCTCGTCTCGCATGTTGAGTTTGCAAAGCGGTTGCTTGATCAAGATGATCGTTTCTCAGTCACTGTCCTAGTCATAAACCCAGTTTTCGCCCCTGAGATCCGAACATACGCTGAATCACTTGCTGCCTCTGATGGTCGTCTACGATTCATCGATCTCTCACAAATACAGTTTGCTCTGCCAAGCCTTCCCCAAACCCCAAAACTGCTCGATAAACTACGCTATATCGAGAGTCATAAGTTGCACGTCAAACAGTCTTTAATCAATCAGGTTTTACTTGATTCAGTATCTTTTGCAGGGTTAGTTGTTGATACGTTTACAACTCCCATGATTGATGTGGCCAATGAACTTGGGCTCCCTTCCTATCTTTTGAACACTTCTAGTGCAGCCTCTCTTGCATTCATGTTACACCTGGTTAGTCGCCATGATCAAGCTGCTGTTGCTCAGGACTTTCAAGCCCCCGATACTGAGTCGGTTATTCCAGGTTATATGAATCCGGTTCCAATTAAAGTTTTAAATTCATTACTGTTTGACAAGAATTGGTACAATTACTTCTTAAATCTTGTGAGAAGATTCAAGGAGACCAAAGCCATGATTACTAATTCTTTTGCGGAGTTGGAATGTCACGCTGTTAAGTCTCTGTTAGAGTTAGAAAATAATATACGATTTTACATGGTGGGTCCGCTCCTTGACCTTCATGGTCGGAGTAGTTCGCTCTGCGATAAAGCCCAACGTAACGAGGTCATGAAATGGCTTGACAATCAGCCACCATCAACGGTGGTTTTCCTTTGTTTTGGAAGCTTAGTGCCCATGGATGAAGCACAAGCCAGGGAGATTGCACAGGGGCTTGAGCGATGCGGGCATCGATTCTTGTGGTCAGTACGAATACAAATGCCAATGAATGACGAGTCAGAAAAGCCTAATAATGGCACCAATCTCAAGGAAATTTTGCCCCAAGGGTTCTCGGAGCGGACCAAAGGAAGAGGATTGGTTTGCAGTTGGGCTCCACAAATTGAGGTTCTTGCCCACAAATCCATCGGAGGCTTTGTATCACACTGTGGATGGAACTCAATTCTGGAGAGCTTATGGTATGGGGTGCCCATTCTGACTTGGCCAATGTACGCAGAACAACAAAGGAACGCATTTCAGATGGTGAAAGATTTGGGATTAGCGGTGGAGATGAGATTGGACTATAAGCTTGGCGAAAGTGATTTAGTGATGGCAGATGAAATAGAGAAAGCTATAAAATGTTTGATGGGGGCTGATAGCAGTGCCAGTGAGGTGCGGATCAAGGTGAAAAAGATGAGTCAAGTGAGTAAGGAAGCTGTAATGGATAGTAATGGCTCTTCTTTCACTTCGTTTGCCCGCTTGATTGAGTTTATGATAGATAATGCTTATAACAAACCTTGACAAACATCATCAATATCCGGAAAAAATTATAGCTGTCTTGTAATTAAGGAACTGCTGAGTGCAGGTATTTTGGATTCACTTTCAAAGAGTTGTTTTCTGTCATTTAATAAATTCATGTGCTTTCTTGATTGATGGTGTAATGTCTGTACAATTTGGGCCATCTGATTAAAATCAAGTACGTCAATCCTGAACTTAGTCAAGTTAATACATTTAGTCACTAAGGTGGCATTCATGTAGTCACTTTCAAAGAGTCCAGTTGATTTATGTGCCTACAGATTTCCAATTCCTGCTCCCTTCTAGTCCCTAGCTTGCAAGCAAACCCAAGTCAAAGATGGACTCAGACGCAAGGACCTCAAACCCAAAGACCCCAAACCTCAGCTGCTAAGCCCTCTTCTTCTACCTCTAAGAAGCCGAAGCCAAGGACTGGCTCTCCTAAGTGTCTCCCCTATTAGCCTTTTCCTCGGGGTTGAATAGGATAAAAAAAGTCGTAGGAGAGTTTTTTCCGTTTCAAAGGGAAAAAATGTGATGGCTTCAGTGCTTGGAACTAGTAACTTGTCCAAGCCTGGAGGTTCAAGTTGTGGTGGTGGCAGTGGCGGTGACGAAGATAGTTCGGGTAAATCGGGTTCTAAAAAAAAAAGATGGGTTGAATGAGAGGTCGTGGTGGTGAGTGGCACTTAAGAATCTAGAAAAAAGTCCCTTAATTACTTCCCTCATTACTTTATTTTCAAATCATGATTTTAAGATAAATATGCCCTGTCACTTCCTTATTTAGCTGCAATTTCACCTTTGCATCTCAACGTAAGAACTATATATGCTTGGGAAAGCCTTATAGAACATTGATGTGCATGCATGCTAGTCCAAGCTTGAACACCTTATAGAACATTGATGCTAACAATGTCATTAGCAAACTAGTAAATTCGACAATATCTAATCTTTTGATCATTAGTCTTTATTGTCAGTTTGTTGACAACATTTGTCAATGGCCCAAAGATTAGGAATCCTGATTTTTCCGTATCAGACACTGATAAAGAGATTAATTTTTTTAGTATTATTTATTTTAATATTATTTAAATTAAAATTAAACGTTATCAAGATTTTATAATTAAATATATATTTAAACAAAAATTTATATATTTTCAAAAATAGATTTTCGAGAATACAAAATGACTCTCAAAAATTCATTTTCAAGAACTCAAAAAATTATTGAAAAATGATTTTCAATAACTCAAAAAATTCTTGAAAATGAATTTTCAAAAGTTATATTTTGTTCTTAGTAATTCATTTTTAAAAATTATATTACTATCTCGAAAATAAATTTTGGAAAGCACAATATAACTCTTGAAAATTAATTTTTGAGATTTAAAAATTGATTTTGAAGTGTATAAACTATTAAATATATTTTTGTCATTTGCTAAAGGTTAAATTTGGTATTTGCTATATAAATATTTTTGGAAGAAAATTTTTGAAGTGTATAAAAAAATTTTGGTGATGTATTTACAACACCCCAATTTCTAGATCAATAGTAATAGTAGTGCTCAATCATTCTGAAGATAGAAATCCTCTCAACTACCAACTCAATAAAAGTGAGAAATTCTCTCGACTACTGACTCAATAAAAGTGAGCAGTCAATAAAAGTGAGCAGACTACGTATTCGACCAGATAAAAAAAAACTCTTAAACAAAAACTGCTGTGATACCACCCACCAGAGGTCACCGACAAAAAAAAGGAAAAAAATGGAGCTAGGATGCCTCCCATCTCTACCAACTTGTCTTGCATGTTAAGTTTGCTAAGTGATTGTTTGGTCAAGACAATCGTTTCTCAATCACAGTCCTAATTATAAACATATCGGGGCTGATCTATTTGTAAGGATAAAAACACAAAAGAGAGAGGAAGGTAAATGGCAAAGGTCTAAAAGTTTTTTTTAATGTTTGTTTTTCGATGCTCAAATCAATACTCAATCAAAAAGTGAGAAGGAAGAAAAGGTAAAAACTAAGTATAAAAGTTAAAGTTTTGATTAATTTAAAAGTATCGAAAAAGAGATATTTATACCTATATCATGAGAACACTAGGCCTAGGTGACCTAAGTTTAGAATAATAGAGCTAGGTTTGATGTCATGGGCCTAAGATAAATTAACAGTCAATAATTCAATCAAAGATGATAAATCAGCATACTCATATATCAAGATGTGATTAGCCGAGGCGACTAAGCTTATGGGAAGCCTAAAAATTTATATTTGTCTGTCACGTCAACTTAACCAAATTGATCAAATTACCCCGTTTAATAAGTGACTTATACTCTGCAGTGAAAGGTCCATTTTATATTTTGGACCCTAAAATGCCCTAACAAAACCTATTGCTTGCCCTCAAGATCCAAACATTAGTCGGTTCATTTGTTGGCTTATTCTCGACTATGATTTATCAATTTTTCTAAAAAAAAAATTGACCCATTAAGCATTACAAAATGCCCAGAAATATTTCAATTCGAGTTTTGGAGAGTCACAAGTTGAATATCAAAGATTATATCATCAATCACGTTTTACCAAATTATTCTGGCTCTGCTGCATGGTTTGTTGTTGACGCATTTACTACTTCGATGATTGATATGGGCAATGAACTTGGCCTCCTTTCGTATCTTTTCTACACCTCTAGTACAGCCTATCTTGGATTCGCATTACACGTAGTTACTCGACATGATCAAGTTGGCAGGGCGTTTCAAGCTTCTGATAATGGAGAATTAGTTATCCTAAGCTATGCAAACTCGGTTCCTTATAAACTTATACCCTTATTTTTGTTTGACAAGACTGGTGGGTATACTTGCTTCATAAATGTCATAAGAGGAATCAACGAGACCAGGGCCATCATTGTTAAGAGTTAGAATCTCATGCGATTAGGTCTCTGTTCGAGTATGACATGCCACCATTTTACTTTGTAGGGTCGATACTTGACCTTGGCAATTAGAGTAGTTCGTTGTGCGATGAGGTTCAACGCGATGAGATCATGCAATGGCTTGACAATCAACCCCCGTCAACTGTGGTTTCCCTCAGTTTTGGAAGCTATTATTCCATCAACGAAAGACAAGCCATAGAGATCACAGAGGGGTTCGAGCAATACGAGTATCGATTCCTTTGGTCACTACCAATATGAAGTCCAAATAACAATTGGTTGGGAATTAGGCCCAATAATTGCACCAATCTGAAGGAAATTATGCCTGAAAGGTTCTTGCAACGTACGAAAGGAAGGGGAATGGTCTGTGGTTGGGCTCCGCAAGTTGAGGTCCTTGCCCATAAATCCATCGAAGGCTTTGTTTCAAATTGTGGATGGAACTCAATTCTAGAGAGTTTATAGTATGGGATGTCCATTTTGACTTGGCCAATGTGCGCAGAACAACAACTGAACGCATTACAAATGGTGAAAGATTTAGGATTAGCAGTGGAGAAGAGATTAGATTATATGCTAGGCGAGAGTGATGTAGTGATGGCAGACGAAATTGGCAAAGCCATAAAATGCTTGATGGATGGTGATAGTGAGGTGCCGAAAAGTGAAAAAGATGAGTCAAGTGGGTAGGGAAGCTGTGAGGGATACCAACGGCTCTTCATTCACTTCCTACGTGTTTAATTGAGTTGTTAATGATGGGTAACGTCAACAAGAAACATTAACATTGCTATACCTATTTACTCAGTCAACAAAATCAAATCTCTTATACGTTCAATCAATACACGTTTAACTATCACATCACCTCGTCATAAAACTAATTTATTACTCATCAAATAAATGTTTGTCCGACAATTTCATTGACTTTTTATCAAGATATCATTTTAAAATTGAACATTTAACTTACAACTTATCTGAAATCATTAAATGTAATCTACATTTGCTTGAAATCATTAAATATAATTCATAGCTACACACATAAATTTTTCTCGAGTTTTACGTGATTTTATCATCAACTGAAGATTATTTCAATCAAATCATCATACTTCATCTCATATATAAGATGAAAAAGATATATAAATATGTAAGATTTAAACATTCTCTTCCATTGTAACTTTCTCAGTACACTTCATTTTTTTTTTCTTTAAACTTTAGACATTTTACTGACTTGAATATCGTAACGCATCCAAGAAAACTAACTCTGACGTCCCTTACCATGCTTTCTGGTTGTAAGTCCAAATCACTTTACCTTCAACTTCCAACTAGCTCCCCCCCAGCTAAGATACCCGAAAATACAATCAAAATATAGTAGGGTTAATATATAATTTAGTATTGAACTGTATCACTTTTACTAATTGGTTTTATAGAAAAAAATTTACTGTCTTGTATCTCAGCTTTCATTTTATCATATCATTTGTCCCAAACATCTATTTCATTAATAATATGTTAAGGTGATAAGAAATTGACTGATAAAATCTTGATACATGATATATTTTATTAATCAATATTTGTCACATCATTATTTCATCTAATATTATTAGTCAATGATATAAAGTATTTAACGAAAATAAATTTAAAATATTAAATCATAAAAAATATATAATTCTGAGCTAATTTACGAATTAACTCTATATAGTGTGTATATATATATATATATATATATATATGCATACGATTTTAAATTCAAGCAATTATATCCTAATAGCAGTTCTGTAAGAGTTTGTTTGAAGCACCTTTGTAAATTTGGTCCCCCCAACAGATCATGAGAAGGATTCTCACTGCATTGTTAGTGTTTCATCAAAAACAGATCCTAACAAGATTTACCTACAAAAGGATTTTCATCGTCTAAAAATCTGTGATGGCTTATTTGATTAGTAGTAGATTAGATTGATGCCGTTGAAGCCCATCAATAGAAATTATGTACTTAATTATATTTATATATAAAGGCATTCGTCAATAAATTTACGGTGTGGCAAATAATTTCTTTATCAATTTCTCTATCACTGATCAATAAAGAAATTACAAAGAAAATTTTTAATTTTTAAAACAAGTAGTGCATTGTTCTGCGCTCTAATCTGAGAGTCATGATTTATTTTTTGCACATACGTATGATTTTACCTTGGTTGGGTCATGGGTGGTTTGAGTTGAAGTTATGATAAAATATTTGGAAGTATCGCTTGCTAAAGTTAGCAATTACCTGTTTCATTAAGCTTCTACATATTCTTTTCACTTTCTAGGATTTTTAGAGAACTTTCTAACATTTTACTTTAGGTGAGCTTAGTAATAAAAGAACTCTAACAATTTGACATGCTTGGTTTTTGTGATAAAAGGGAAATATTTAGTTTAATTGATTTATAAATATATTTAAGAATTGATATTTAATAAATTTGAGGTTTAAATTTTATTATTTGTAATTTTTTTAATCTTCAAGATGTGACTTCTTTATTAAAAAAAGAATTAAATTACATTTTTTTTATATTTGAACTTTAGAAAAATATAAAAATCCATACTTAAAGAAATAAAAAGCAAAATTTATATTCTAAACTTTCAAATAGTATATTATTTTAATCTAAATTTTAATATTATTAACATAACTTATTTATATGATATTTAATTAGTATAATTTTATTATATATATATCATTAGTTAAATAAAAATATTAAATATTTTGTAATAACATCATATAATTGTCACGTTGATGTCATACGACAAATAATAATTTATTAATTGTACCCAATTTTTATGGCTCAAGCATTAAATATTTGTATTTTTAATTTACATTAAAAAATATGTTAATAGTTTGTGTGATAAATATATAATTTGATAATATTTATCGAACATTACATATATATATATTAATATGAATAACGATATTATAATTTAAGTTAATATGATACATAATTTAAAAGTTTAGAATACAAATTGTAACTTCTATTTCTTTAGGTGTATATTTTTTCAAAGTTTATACATAAAAAATTTATTAACTAAAAAAAATATCAAAGCCTTTTACGTTTTGGTAGAAATATCAAAGCCATTTCAACTCTATATCATCGTCTGCATAGCTAGAATGTCTACAGAGCAGTTGGATTAATTTTATTATTAGTTTTCTATTTCCTTTTTAATTTTCTTATTTTTCTTTCCCTTTCCACTACCACTCTATTAACGATTTTTATTTAATCTTTTTGTTTAATCTTTATAGATCACCCAACTTTGTGCACATTCATTACCCAACCTCCTTTGTGCACATTCATTACCCAACCTTCTATGTGCAGTATGGTATGATTATAGCTGTTGGCATTGTTCAAGTAAGACCTGCACTGACAATGCAGTTTAGAATAAGCAACTTTTCTAGTATTATACTTGAAAAAAAAAAATCCAAAGAAAGTTCTATTTATTTCGTTAAACATTTCATAATACATTATGCTAACATAAAAGGAACAACAACGCCATAGGACCACCACTGGATACAGGGAAGAATGCAAACACATGGACCAATCAAAACTAGAATACAGCACAGACAAGAACAAGTAAAAGAAGAGAAACTTGAGAGGGGAAAAAATGGCTCCCAATATTTAGAAAGTTAATTACATCCATCTACTTCTGGATTGGAGGTATTGAAAGATTGCTTTCCAGCATAAAAGATAGATCATGCATTTGTGACATCAATATCTCTAGATCATCGGTTGTTAACGCTGTTGTTGCACTGGAAAAATCTCCATCTTTTGCAACTTCAGCATTATTACCACCTCTTACATTTGCATCAGCCATCCTGAAACATGTAAAAGCAACAATGAGACATTTCTCCTCGGGTTTAGTCTTCTGTCATGCGTATGCTCATTTAAGCCCATCATTTTTAGCGGAAGCAGTGAGGGAGGGGCGTGAATTTAACATGACCTTCAGCAGGAAGAAAACAAAAACAAGTAGTTTCCATGTCCCCATGCAAGAAGTAAAGCCAGAAGTATTTGCACAGAGATTCAAAACAGGTTGTTTCACAAGAGAAGCTAAAGAGGTTCTTAATCTCAAGAATTGGAAGGAAAAACAAAAACAAAATTGAAAATAAATTCCCTGCTCAGATAGCAATGAAAGTACTAGGGAGAGATCTGACACAGCACATAAGAGTCAATCTACAATTTGATAAGTCTTCCTGCAAAAGTAAGAGTGCATCTCGGCACAAAGCATAGATGATTTGGCCATTTAAATCCCCCACAAAGATGAAGTCACAAATAACAAGATACCCATAAAGTTTTTAGCCTCAATCTAACTCATCCTTTTCATCAAATTCTGATACAAAGTACCTCTTTTTAGATGGGGTGTAGCCATCAATTAAGCTATAGCTTAGCACACTTTAAATAATTAAAAATAAAGTCTTGATCAAATGTAAAAATCTTGGAAGCATATATCATCGACTCCTTAGCATAAATTAGCCATCTTTTTGGGCATATTACAGGTAACCAAGTTCAACCAACTTATGAATAGATGAGCTTAAACATAATTGTTTGTGGTAAATTAAACCTCCGTATTTGCAGCAATGCTGCTATTTCAAGGACTCCACTCTGACAGAGAGACAGCAGGCCATGATTATCCACCCAAAACAAACACCCTCCATTCTAAGCCAGAATGCCAGATCAATATCTCTCCCTTTCAGCAAACACATTTTCACTTAATGTCCTAAGCCCTTGCAGGCATCTCCAAGTTGCATAGCTGTAATTACTTTTTCTTTTTTAAAAATACATTGTACAGTACACATAGGCGTAGAACAGCCTTGTAAAGAAACCCCCATCCAATCTATGAGATGGCATAGACAAATATGCCCTCTACCCTATTCTACTTTCATAAATTTTACAAAAAAAAAAAAAGGTTACATCAGCATAATAGCAAAAAACTCCAAAAGCAGAAAAAAGTGGTAAGTCTTTTTCTAATTCAGCTATGTGAAAAAAATAATTCAACTTCCTCTCAGAAACTAGAATTGTTTCATCTTGTTTTGATATTCCCAATATATTCTCTCAAATATATCCAATAATATTAAAATAATTGAGTTAAAACTAAAAAAATGCAATTACCCTAATGAAGAGAATATTGACCACTAAACCATAGAAAAGATAAATTAACTGAAATAGAGTTTAGCAGGATACTTTAAAAAATCAGTTCTGTTAGAAGCAAATTGACAGAACAAGCATACACACCTGTCTGAATCAGGAGCTTCAGGCAGCATAATATTAATTTCAGTAGAGACACTTTGACTGCTGAATGCCCCTGAAAAGAAATCAGGTTCAGATAAACTACCAAAATTATTATTATATGAATTCCTATCCATAGTGAACAAGTGTGTTTCCGAAGTCCCAACAGAAGGCTTTTCATGATGGACAGCTTGTTCGAAAGAAATGCTTGAAGGATCTTTTGCACTAGTTGAGCTAGTAAAATCATTCCAGGCAGCAGACAAGTCATCATTATAATCAATGGTCTTATTATCAGGTATAGCAACTTCTTTCCAAGAATTACTAAAAGCATCTTGCATAGTAGTTGAGGTTTTAAAATCATTCCAATCTCCAAAAGAATTGTCTGATTCATCAACAGTTTTTCTATCAGGTGCCTTTTTGTTGCCTGTTAGCCATTGATCATCTGGAAACCAATCAACCTTCATGGAGGAAGAATTATGCACAGTCTGATCTGCTCCAGAATTCATAACAGCAGTGTCAAAATTTTCAGCTTGACGAGTTAAATTTGAGGTAGAATTACTCCATCGATCATCCTGAAACCAGCTGTTTGCATTGGATGCACTGGAGCCATCTTTTGCTTTCCCATCAACTAAATCTTTTCCAGATGCAAAGACAGCATCCATGTGATCAAAAAGATCTATTGAGGAACCCACTAAAGGATCAGATGATTTGGATCCGTCATGATGATTTTTAGAATTAGCAGATTGAAAGTCAGTGTCCCATCCAGAAAAAGGGTCACTACTCTTTTCTTCCATAGAATTAGCATGGATAGCAGGTTCTTTCCAAGAACTTATTGAAGAATGCACAACACTTGAGCTTTTAAAATCATTCCAAGCCCCAAATGAATCATCATCTTCATCATTGGTTCCATTATCAGCTTCTTTATTGCTAGTTGTTTGCCATTGATCATCTTGAATTCTGTTTATACTCATGGAATAATTACTTAGATCTCTCAACATACCACCATCCTTATCACCAACATTAGCATCAGATTGCTCAAGATGTTGAAGAATCCCTGAGGTGGAATTACTCCATAGATCATCTTGCAACCAATTAGAAGCATGGGATGAAGTTGTGTTACCTACTGCTTTTCCTGTTCCAAAGACACTATCCATGTGAGTAGAAAGATCAGCAGAAGAGCCTGCAAAACGATCAAAAGATTTGGATACCTCATGTTGAATTTCCAAAACAGTAGATTCAGAGCCAACCCCCAACCCAGAAAAGGAATTACCACCTTTTTCATTCATTGACTTCGTACCATTAGCAGTATGGTCCGAAGAACCATGAGCAGCATCTTGTGCACAGGTGGAACCCTTAAAATCATTCCAAGCATCAAAGGAATCATCATCATCATCATCATCAGTAGTTCTTTTACCAGGGGCATTACTAGCATTGTTTTGCACTTGATCACCTTGAATCCAGTCAAGATTCCCAGAAGAAGGAATGTTTTCTTTCTCTGTTCTCACCCCTGAAGAGGAATTACTCTGCATATCATCTTGAAACCAGTCGTTTGTTCTGGATTCCGAAGAAGTTTGATTGCCTTCTTCTTTTCCATGAAATAAAATTTTACCCTGTACAAGGACCGTATCCATGTGCAAAGAAAGATCCTTTGAGGAACCCACAAAAGGATCAAACGACTGCGAGCTAATAGCATTGTGATCAGTTTTAGAATCAGCAGCCTGAAAGTCAGCCTGCCAACCAGAAACAGAACCACTACTCTTAGAACGCTGAAAATTCTCAAACAAACTAAGGTTCTCACGCGATTCAATTGCATTACTCCCAGTAGAATCACTCTCTTTATTTACTGCCAATGTACCTTGGGATGGTACTGAAACAGAATCTCCTTTCCTTTCAGCTAAAAACTCTTCATCAAGATCAAGTCCAGCCAAATTCAATTGATTATTCCTTCTCAAAACAGATTCAAATTTCTCCAGCTCGGCATCATTCCATCTTATTTCTAAATCCAAAAGATCAGATAACGGAAACTCCTCTCGGGATCCTCTGTTCGATTCATTCCCCTCTAACGACTCTCCCACCATTTCCTACAATACCCAACTTTTGTTTTATCAATAAATTTCAACAGAAACTAACTACGCTCATTGTTTATGATAAAATATAAAACCTAAACAGATAAATAATATTGATTATAATTATAAAAAAAAAAAGTGACTTACAGATCCATCTAAGTTAAGGGAGTGGAGGAACCAGCGGTAACCGGAAGTGGACTTGAATTTGATGGGCCGAGGTGACGCCTCGCTATTGGTCTGGCTTTTGCCGCAGAAAATGCAAAGGAGGGAGTCGGAGCCTCGGAGGAGATGGGCTTTGCAGTGGAGGCAGCGGTTGGGAGAGTCAGAGATGGAGTGAGGGAGGGAAGGTAGAGTGGGAAGCGAGGAGTCGTTTGGATCGTAGGAAGGGACGTTGGCTTGTTTGCGAAGTGAGATCTGGAGTTGGGTTATTAGATCCTTCGGGATTTCAACCGCCATTTTTTGCTTTACACTCTTCCCAGTTTGTGTTGGTGTTTTCTCACCGTCTCATCGCTTTCGAAGGCAAGATGGTGAATAGAGAACAAAGTCTAATTGGGTCTTTTGCGAACGTGGGGAGGTGGGGTTCGGCCCAAGATCTAATTGGGTCTTATCAAATCAAACATTTTTAATACCAAGTCCAAGTTTAGACTCGGTGGTTTTCTCAATTACATAATATTTTAATAACAACATATGAAATAAAGCTTATGTTAGATTGATACGGAGATTTAGCAATTCTACTCGAATTTGAATTCAGAAAAAATTAAGGTTTTTTTTCTAAATATAATCAGTGGTAAAGTTATAAATAAACAATTAAAATATTAAAAATAAAAATACATTATCGCATAAAATATTTGAATTTAACTCATTTCACAAATTCAATAATTTTCTAATCGAGTTTCAATAATTTTCAAATCAAAAGAGCTTATCAGTGCACATTTGTACCCCCTACGGATCAATCCTAACTTATGGAGTCAAGCTCACGGGCTTGAGGGAGTGACATGATCTTAGACAGTGGTGGGCAGTTTTCGTTGGTAGGCTTAAATTCCGTCACCGCCCAAAGTTTTAACATCTCGGCAATTTCATGGTTCTGTGCCTCAGCCCAAGCAGCCATGGTCGTAATTTTGTTCCGGGGCTTCCAAATACCCCATAAAAAATATTTTTATATAGTTTTATTTTTTTTTTTAAATAACCACATAGCAAAAACTAATTTTAACTTTTAATAAATAATAAAATCCTCTCGATAAGTTAGATACCCCCAAAATCACTTTTATAAATCTTGAAAATGAATTATCAAGAATTATATTATGTTTTCAGTAATTTATTTTTGAGAAAAAAATATAATTTTCAAAAATTAATTTTCAAAAATTATATATTTTTTGTGAAATAGATTTCAAAAGTCATCTTATATTTTTAAAAATATTTAAATTTTTGTTTAAATATATTTTTAATTATAACTATTGATAACGTTAAATTTTAAATTAAATTAAATTAATATATTTAATTTTAAAATAAATAATTCTAAAATAAATAAATTTGATATGTTAAGATCTTCAAACGTCTTTAATATTTTTTTTATGTATGGCTTAATTTCAACAATAAAAATATCTAATTTTTAGGCTATCAATATTTTGATGACTAAAAGATACTGCTAGTAAAAAAATTAAAAATTTTTATTATTAAATTTATCAATCTACCAATGATATTATGAATTAATATTTTATAAGGTGTTCAAGCTCGGATTAGCATACATGGACATATGAGTTATCAATATATTTATTTTTGCTTAATCATATATGAGAATGGAAGAAATATGTTAGTTCTCAAACATACATAAGTATAAAATTGTTTTTGTTTTAAGATAAAAAATTAAAAATATTTTTTTTATCCATGCAAAATCAAAAAATAAAAAAAAATGATATTCTTTGTTTTATGAAAACTTAAAGAGAAGGAACAAGTTTATGTATGAGAACATAAATTTTAGTTTTATTCATTTATATGATCAAGTAAAAGGGTTTATAAGTGTATGAATTCATAAATGAAGTCAAATATGTATGATTAATGATTAAAAATAAAGTCAATTTTCTCAAAAATAGGTATCCAAAACTTTTTTTAAGTTTCTCGTAAATGAATATTTAAAAAATTTTAAAATTCTTGAAATATTTATTTTCGAAAAGTATCGAAATTTTTTAAATATTTATTTAAGAAAAGCATAATTAAAAAAAATTAAAAAGGTAAAAATAAAAAATAAAAAGAGAAAGATGAAATGTATTTAATAAAATAAAAAATTGAATTTTGACAAAACCTTGTATTTAGAAATGGGATTAATAGAATAATAAATAAAATGTAAATAGAATTCCTTTGTTCCCATTTCACACTCATCATTACTACTAAAATAAATGATTTACAACCCACCGGAAAAATTATAACATTCAAAATCGAATCAAAAACCTATTAAATAAATCGGTGTCGAGCATGAAGTAGCAGATGTGGGATTTGACATTTGCCGACAACTACATCAAATTGGTCTCTAAATCTATCAAAATTGACCAAATCTGTCTTCATTTCGTTTCCAATTAGCCAGAAAAGTGACTCTCGGATAAAGAGATGGCAGTAAACCAGGCGGCGGCATTGAAGGTGGGTTTGGGTTTATTAGGTCTGTGTTTGTTCGGCTACATAGTGGGTCCACCTTTGTACTGGCATTTCATGGAAGGCTTAGCAGCCGTTAGCCACAATTCCAACACTTGCCCACCTTGCCTTTGCGATTGCTCTTCCCAGCCTCTTCTCACAATCCCCGAAGGTATTTCCAGATCTGGGCTAGATCTCATCTCCTCTGCTTTTATTTTCTTTTTTTTTTTTTCTTTCATTTGTATATCTTGGATTTGATCAATTTGCCAAACTCAAAGCTACGTTATATTACTAAACTTTACAGCTTGCTCGATCTGAAATTATACTTTATTTTGTTGTTACAAGTACTTTATGTGTGTCCTGTTCATGCGACATTTATGGACAATTGGAGAATGGAGATCCTGTAATTTGATCAATTAAGGGAATGTACAATTAGTTACTGCCAAATGTTGATTTGCACTGGATGAGTTTGACAATTATATGATAATCCAATATTCCCTCCCAATCTACGTAACATTTGTGAAATTCTCCGTGGAATTTGCCCTAAAGATATGATCTTTTTATTTAACACATTTATAAATGTTGCTTCTGTTATTTCTTGGTAGTGTTGTAGCTTAGCGTTGAAAGTTGAAAATTTTGCCTTTCTTGGCGTGCTGTTCTTCATTTTTTCCCTATAACGTTTTGTATTAGCATTCCATGCACTACTTGCCCTGCGAGGATCCAAGTTTCCTTTTTTCTAGGAAAAAATACAATTGGGTTATTTGTCTAAGTTATATGATATTTGATATTTTGTTCCCCTTTCTCCCCTTTTTTTATCGGTCCTTTATGGTAATTGTTTGATTCTGTCTTTAATTCATGCAGGACTGAGCAATGCTTCATTTGCAGGTTAGTTTTCAGTTCTGTATCATGGATATGTTTATTGGAATATGGAACTAAGTAACTTAATTCAAAGAAAATATTGGTGATTTTTGGTTACACATGAGCATAAGCATGTAATTTATAGTGCTGTCCGGAGTTAGCTTTTCTTCCCATATCTGCCTTTCTAACTGGCATGTATTAATAGTGATCAAGGGGAAGAGAGAGATACATTAGGTTAAGCTTTCCTTTTCCTTGTCTTTCACCACATGAATAAGAGAAAAAGTGGAAGAGTTTGTTAGGAAAATTAGAGACAGATATCACTGGGTTCTACACTTGTTTCTTTGAATGTTATGTCTTTTAGATCACCTCTAACTTCTCTGCTCACATGAAGAACTCAACGTGATTCCCCAACCAACCACCCTGTCCCTTTTTTTTTTCCTTTGATATGATATATTGCAAATGTAACTATGTTCTATATGATTGATTCCCGGTGCTGCTACATAACAATATCATAACCAAGTTACGTTTCTAAGATTGATTGCAAATGAAAAATATTGTAAAAATTAAACTTTGTTACTGAAACATCAAGTAGTAACTCTGGCAGAAATTGACAAACACAGTCCTGCTTTCTGCTTTCTTCTTTTACCTTCTTATGTTGTCTCAAGAAGATTAAAGTTCAGTACAGTATGACAGTAGGGTGCTTTGACATGTGTTACTTTCTGAAATAAAATTTTGAGAACCTTAAGCAATGAGGTGGTGCAAGGCACTAAGGTGAGACTATGTACTTTACAAATGACAGTTCAAGAATTTTTAAGCCGGCATAAAGAGTGCTTTGATGGTAATCTTGGAGTAAGATTTTGCTTGGCATGGTACTGCCATTTTGACTCTTATCTTACTTTTTAACATGCTTCAATTGAAATTACTTGATAATTGATGTTGTGGTAATATGTAATCTAAGGTAATTTGAACACAGATGTACTATTAAATATAAACCCTCTCCTATTGCATTGACAAAACCACTGCCTTCCTCGAAAGATTTGTACGAATTGGGGAGTAAACGAATTTATTCCAGGGTGATATTAGTCATTTGCGTTTTATGTTTTATGCGGTCGGCATATTGAAGGTTGAATTTAAATATTCCGCAGATTGCACGAAGCATGATCCAGAGGTGAGTGAGGATACTGAAAAGAACTTTGCTGAACTTTTGACAGAAGAACTGAAGCTTAGAGAAGCTGAAGCTTTGGAAAGTCAGAAACGTGCGGACATGGCACTACTTGAGGCCAAGAAGATAGCGTCGCAGTATCAAAAGGAAGCAGACAAGTGCAATTCAGGTATGGAAACATGTGAAGAGGCAAGGGAGAAAGCTGAAGCAGCACTGGCGGCTCAGAAGAAGTTGACTGCAATGTGGGAATTAAGAGCTCGTCAAAAAGGGTGGAGAGAAGGGGTTGCCAAATCTCATACACAGTCACAGGGTAATATCCAGGCTGTCTAAATGATCTACCGTGGCCTTATAGAAAATTATTAGAAATTGTATTTTCTTTTTCACTCAGTACTGTTCATGTTGATTATTAACTTATTGCATCTTACCGCAAAGCGGGCCATACAGTCGTGGATTCCAGAGTTAATCCTGCAGGATTTATGAATTTCAGTCATAAAACGACATGAGAATGCAATGAAAGTCACTTTTACCACTGTGGCAAATACATCCGAAATCAATAACACAAGCGTCGAGCAAAGTGACGTTGAATAACAAATCTTGAATTAATACCTTTGATTCTAATTTATTTGAAGAAGATATGAACTTTGGTCCGCACCAAATCTACTAGACTCCTATGTAACTAAATTTATCATCACTATGCCTTTTCAACGGCTGTGATTTTACCAGAATCCCCACTAATCGAATCATACCTTTGAAAAATGTGAGCTACAATTAATGAAGCTGACTTAGTCACATAATCCTTAGCTGCACATTGCTTATTCGACTCGCTGGGCGACCCTGTCTGTGGCCCATTCGACCAGAACAAGTAACTCAGCAATTCTTTCCCATTTCCCACGAACCGATCTGGTTTGAAACTCTCCGGTTCATCAAAAACATTACCATCCCTCATAGCCAAAGGCTGATACCCACACAATAACTCACCTTTTTTATGTTAAAAATCGAGTCATGGGAAGTGAGCTGAAAATCCTTCCTCGCTCGTGCATATTGAAGCGTAACAGGCGGGTTCAAACGCAATGTTTCATAAACAACTGAGTTTACCAGCTCCATGTCTTTCACCGAGTCAAAACTCAACCTCGTTGATGATGACTGAGATGTTTTTCTCACTTCTTCTCTTAACCTGGCTTGTAACCCACTTTTATCACTGGCTATAGTGGCGAGTAATGTCGGTAAAAAAATGGAGAAACCACCAAAGGCATTGAACCCAAGAACAAAGATCATGTTATGGATGGCATCGGATGTGGAAAGGCCGAACTCTTCTTCACCACGCTGTACAACTTCTTTACCGTGCTGTTCAACGAATTTATAGAATTTTCGGTAGCCTCCACTGACGAGGGCAAAAGGGTAAGTGTAAGAGTGAAGAAATATCTCTTCCAGTGGCTGAATGACTCGGAGGGGGATGGTGGGGAGGAGTTGGAGGCCGAGCCATACGTTGAGGGTGAAGGGACCGGAATTGGCAACGTCAGGGTCAAAGGCAGGGTCGGCGCCAACGAGGGACTTGGTGGGAAGTTGAAGATGAAGTTTTGGAGGTGGAAGATGTAGGATGAGCTGCCGTCTTTGGAGATTTCGGATTCAATGGTTATCCCAGAATTTGTCGAGGTTGCCTAGCAGTTCTGTCACCCACACCTTGGAGCTCGGCTTGAGGATGTCTATGGCAAAGTTCTTGAGCTGTTGAAAGATATCAAAGAACGACATTGCAATCTGAGTAACATATTCTAATTCCTTAGTGAAAAATTTTAAATTAAAATAAAGTTTTTTTTGCAAAGAAGATCGGACTACGTAAACCAACGAACTAATTTTGAGTTCAAAAAAAAAAAGCTTGTACTAACCTTCAACTCCATCCCAAATATATTTTTCTTTGAATGTTTTGCATAACAATTGTCAATTTAGGAGGCATTTGGTTGAAAATATTTTAAATTTAAAAAATTTTGAAATGGTTATAATTGTATTATTTGAATAATGA